GAGCCACCTGCATCCTACCAATGAAAGACACTAGACAGCAAGAGCCACCTGCATCCTACCAATGAAAGACACTAGACAGCAAGAGCCACCTGCATCCCAGCAATGAAAGACACTAGACAGCGAGAGCCACCTGCATCCTACCAATGAAAGACACTAGAGAGCAAGAGCCACCTGCATCCTACCAATGAAAGACACTTGCATGCTAGCAATAAAAGATGCAGGACAGCAAGGGCTGCCTACATCCTAGGAACAAATGATGCTAGGCAGCAAAAGCTACCTGCATCCTAGCAATGAAGGATATTAAGACAGGAAGAGCCACCTGCATCCTAGCAACAAAGGACAATAGACATCAAGAGCCATGTGCAACCAAAATTTAGCAATGAAGGACTCTAATCGGCAAGAAGTACCTACATCAATGAAGGTGGCAAAAGTCAATTGAATCCTAGCATTGAAGGGTGCAGGGTCACCTTAAAGCGGAGCTCCACCCAAAAGGGGAAGTTCTGCTTTAAGGACTGCTCCCCCTCTCCCCATTAAGGACTGGCATTTTGGGGGGCAGGTACCCGAATTTGACAGGTACCCGCTCCCACTTCCGGTCCTATTGCCTAGGTGATCGGAAACGGAAGGTCTCTTCCCTCCCTTCCTCCCTGTAGTATTTTGGGACACGTGACACGTCCCAGAAGACTACAGGACCATTCATGAAGTGCAGCACTACTCGCGCATGTGCAGTGGGTACCCGGCTGTGAAGCCACAAGCAGTCACAGCCGGGTACCCACACTGAAGATGCCGGCCCCCAGGAATACAGGACGGCTGGTGAAATGGACTGCGGGGGACACAACATGGGACTGAGGGACAGGTAAGTGGCAGTTTTTGTAGCTGCTGACTTTTACTTTTTGACAGGATGAGTATTTTAAAGTACTTACTTGCAGTGTCTTCCTTTCCTTTACTGATTTTATTCACTTTTAATGGTCATGGGCTAGAAATATTGACTAGTCAATTCCTTAGCACAGCCCCGGCCTCCTCACACATCATAGCCATCTCCTTTTCTGGGAATGTCTAAATACTGTGTGTTAGCCTAGCTCCCTGGCCCATCCCCTAACATCCCTAAGGCCCTGTTCACACCTGAGCATTTTGTAGCTTGTAGCTCAAAGCTCAAAAAACGCTTAACAAGCAAAAAACTATTATTTTCAATAGCCCTTGTTCACATCTGAGTGTTCTGTCGCTTGTAGCAAAACGCCTGTCGCTCAAAAAAAGTACATAAGCTTCTTTTCAGGCAGAATTGAGTGTTTTTGTCTCTATGGACTGAAAAGCACGACATGAGCATTTTCGTGCATTTTTTTTTTTTTCAAACGTTTTGATGTCTGTTTTCTGCTCAAACAGCATCTCTCCACTACTTTTTCAGCAGCACTCCAAACGCCTAGTTGAAAAATGCCTGACAAAAAAAAGCTGCAAAAACATGCAATTTTGCTCCAAAAAACGCTTGAAAGAAAGTTTGAAAAAACGCTTGATAACGTGACATGGGAGTGTAGCTTTAATATTCTTTTGTTCAGCTGCTGGGGCAGGAATGAAGGGGAATGTAACAGAGAGTGTCACATAAAACATAAGTAATGGCAAAACGATTTCTTTTAGTTTTGGGTAGAATGGAGGGATATTAAAACACGTCATATTTGTATTACTGTCTGTGTCCCCTCTTAGGGAGATTCACCCTCTCGATTTGTCCTGGAGTCTTTTGTCACTGAGTATGAAAGTAAAAGAAAATGCCAAGTTTGAGTTGTCACCAGCACAGTAACAGAGGCTAAATCTTCTAACAGGGACACAGGGGCGGACTGACAACTCATGGGGCCCCCGGGCAATAGGGGATCTTGGGGCCCCTGTGTCCTTGCCCAAACTCAAAAAAGCCTATGAAAAAGGTACCAGGGGCATCTGATGGGGCCCCCTACTGACCTCGGGCAGTGCCCAAGTTTCCAAATGGTCAGTCTGCCCCTGCAGAGACACTAGTTTTGTTTACCCTGGTGAATTCCAGGTTTTCCCTCACTTTGGAAGGATTTCCTCTTACAGGAAGTGAAGGAAAACCTCCCCAATGGGACAGAGATGACAAAAGGAACCCAATAGGGGTAAAAATCCTCCCTTACTCTATCTAGAATGAAAAAAAAAAGGTTTGGGCTATAGATTTACTTTAAGTGACAGCTTTGAGTCTGTTGGCGCTGCTGATATCACATCCAAGATGGTGGTGTCCAACAGCAGTCCAAGGGCTTTTGGATTCCTACATGAGGGAGGCTTTTACAGGTACATAGCATGCATGCAATTTCTCAAATGCACATATAATTTTATGGGAAGATTTTTGTTGAAATGAAAGTTCTAGCGACAGGACCTCTTTAAGGCTTCTGAGAATTAAAAGTCTTCTTATTTATGGATAAACCCAATAGGTGTGTGACTACTGAGACTCTGATGAAGACCTTAACTTTAAATGTTTGAATTTCCCCTCACTTTTGGTTTTGGTCACATGAACTGAGAAACTGAATCTCTCCAGTGGGGGCACAGACACCAAAAATAAAAAAAAAAATTACAGAGGGTCTAAAGCCAGCCATAGACAGGTTGAATCTCTGTCTTTTCAGCAGGGACTGGCTAAGATTCGATCCATGTATGGGCAGGCTGGATATACAGCCAGCCTGATGGATTTTACATGCGACTATTGCTAGCGACTATTGTAGCCCCTAACAGCAATCACTGTGTTCTCCCGAACACAATGGACACAATGACCCCATGGTAGAGACATCTTCACTGACTGTGTTGAAGGGGAAATTGAGCGATTTTCTTTCCTGCAGGAAAAAAAAAAATCACTCTGTCTATGGCCGGCTTAACTCTCCCCTACTCTATTCAAAGCTTTAAAAAAAAAAATATGCCCTTTTCATATATCTTAAATAAAACAGTTTAGTACACCAGCATGCTCTGGTGTTCAGCCACAAGAGAAAGAACACAAGATCTGTCTAGAAGAAATGACAACTAATTAAAAATATAAAAGTCATAAGGTGAGAGGATACTTTTGGACAGACTTTAAAATAGTAGCTTATAATAGATACATACTGTATGTAAAAGCCTCCGCAGTTTCATTTTAAGGCAGAAGGAAGTTAGAAGGAGCTGACCTGAGCCTTAGTCCCCCTCCAGTAATAACACTGGTGGGAGTGGAGATCACCCTCATAAATCTTCCACTATTGACACAAAACATATGTAAAAAAAAAAAAACCCTCTAGTCACAAAGTGTATCTGCTCTTTTGGCCCCTTTGCTACTAACACGACTTCCTGTCCCCCTCTGTAGCACAGGTACATCCAAGCTGCGTCAGCCTCATTAATAACGTGTGAGATTTTCATGGGAGATGGATGATCTTTTTGCACTGGAAAAACATGGCTGAGATTATGACGTATGACTTCAAGGTCATCATGTTGTGATAATAACCCTTCTTTGTCACCACTTCCTTCCCTCCTGCACTTCCTTAAGATTTCCTTTTCTGCTATCTTGATAATGTTTGAAATTTCTTAATTCTTTTATCTCATTTTGTCAGATAAAGGTCACTCAGTTTACTAATGGGCTGCTATTGGGAAAATGCAGTGCCCTGCAAGGAGTCTGGCATGCTAAAGGGCAATCACAATGGTCAATTTTACTTTTATTCTATTTTTTAGATCTTATAAAAAAAAAAAAGTAAATTTTATAATAAAAATAATCTATAAAAATCTATTTTAAAAAAAAGTTGTTTTTTTAGTCCGAACCAATAAAATAAAAAATTGGAATACAAAAAACTTTACAAATTATGTCAAGAAAAAGTCAATCAATTTGACTAACGCCTCTTCTCTCTAAAGCTGGCCATACACTATAAGAATCTTAAGCTAATAGCATAAATAAATCCCTTCTGCCTGTATCTGTCCGAATACCTAAACAGTGGCTGCATCTGATTGGATTTTCATAGCAAAGGACGCGCCCTGCTGTTCAAATTTCAGCTAGAATCTCAGCAAACAGATTAAATTTGTAGGTATAGCCAGCTTAAAGTATAGCTAAAGATGAAACTTTTATTTATTTATTTGAGCAGAGTGTGGATGGATTTGAACCTGTCAGGTTTTAATGCTACCTCTGCACCCCATGCCCCCCCTCCACTCCTTCCCTCACTGTTAGGGAGACTAACCCTCACTGTTTGCCTTGTCTAACGCAACAAAATTTAAAGTACAAGAAAAGTCCAAATTTTAGGTTGTCCCCATAACAGTAATAGAGGGAAGAAACTTCTAATGGTGACTCTAGTTCTGGTGACCTGGTGGGGGCCCAATGGACTCCAGGGATTTCCTCTCACTTCCTGTTTTGGCCATGGGACAAGAAGTGAAGATAAATTTCCCCAATGGGACACAGATGACAGAAGAAAGCTGACAGGGTTATAACCCCACTTTACTCTATTCAAAATGAAATAAAGTCTTGCCTATAGTTCTACTTTAAGGATCACACCTCTTTAGAAAGTGCATTTAATTTGCCATATGGGTAAACTAATTAGACTTTTCCCTAACTTCCTAAATGCATTGTTAAAACACATTCACAGACACTGTTTCACAAGTAGTGTAAGACAAGCCGTAAATTATGAAATTGCTTGATTTCCCCATGAACACTGACCGACATTGACTCCTGTGGAGCTAATGGGTTCTCCCGACAGAGGGTGCCGTCCCTGCTGAAAGAACACTGATTTCTAGAGGCTATAGCCATTGGCAATAATCGCTTGCTGAATATCTGAAATGCTGGTTGTACCCAAACTGATTGATGAATCGACATGGGTACAATCAGCCTGCCCATAGATAGATCGAATTTTGTCTGGTCCCTGCTGAACTGGCCAAGCTTTGAACCATCTTTGGCTGGCCTACTTCTATTATCCTATGGCTTTGTGTCACTGCCTCACCTCCTGCTAAAATAAACAGCAAATACTAGAAGCTATTGTAAATGGTGGTGTTTCTGCATGTATTTCAAGGCTTACCTTTTCACGTATAGGCCAAAGTTGATGCGGTCTGCATTTTCTAACCTCTGCACATTAAATCTCAGGCCAAGTGAGAGCTAAAAGAGAAAAAAAGACCTGTAAGGTCATGATTTGTATGTAGCAGGTAGCTTTATCAGGTGTCCTCTGCAGGGCAGTACCAGGGGTGGACTGACAACTCATGGGGCCCCCCCGGGCAATTAGGGGATCATGGGGCCCCTGTTTCCTTGCCCAAACTCAAAAAAGCCTATGAAAAAGGTACCAGGGGCATCTCATGGGGCCCCCTACTGACCCCCGGGCCCTCGGGCGGTGCCCCCAAATGGTCAGTCAGTACACATGCATGGTTATAACACTAATATGAGTTTCCACACTGTCCAGGGAGAACCAATAAAGGCAATGGCGTGTGTTTACTAAAGGCAAATAGACTGCACTTTGCAAGTGCAGCTTCACCCATTTTCCTTAGTAAGTGTAAATGTGGTGAAGCTTCACTTTGTAAAGTATATCCAATCAGGTGCAAAGGAAAACAAAAAAACAGCATTCTGCTTGCATGATTGGATGATAGAAATCATCTCTGGGGAAATAAGTGCAACTGCACTTGCAAAGTCTACAGTCTATTTGCTTTTAGTAGATCAACCCCTCTGAGAATTCATGTTGAACCAATTAGACTTTAATCAGTTGAAATATGACTGCAATATATTATACACTCTTGATTATTAGGCTATCTGGGCTAATAGGAAGCATCTGATTGGCTGCAGTGGACTACCAGAAATGTTTTGGTTAAGGAATGTTCATAAAGGAGGCCAAATGCACTGTAAATATTAATTTTCACAGATACATTATAGCTATAGTCGGCAATGCTGATCGAAAGAAAAAATTCCAACAGGCTGATTGGCTGATCAATAGATTGACTTGTGTATAACCAGCCTGCCAATACATAGATTGAAATTCGGCTGTTCCCTGCTGAACCAGCTGAATTTTAATCCTTGCATGGCCGGCTTAACAGGCAAGGTCACTCCTGGCTGTATGCCTGGATATCTATGTTCCTATGAAAATGTCTGTTGAGGCAAAGAAAACTTTCAGGGAGAATGCAACGTGTATACAAATATAAAACGGAGCCTCTACAGCATAACTCTGAGTGAGGCCCACTTGCTCAACACTTACATTGGTTCCGGCCACCATGGGGTTTCCAAGGTCGCATACTACCATCCGAGAGTCGTTTACCATTTTGTATTCACAGTTAAGTTGCCTCAGACCCTAAGGAAAAGAAACATGGGTGAATGAATTATTATGTGCTAATTTTACGTAGTGATGTCTATGCAGCACTTTCCTGGGTACACAGAACTGTTCACATCAATCCCTGAAGGAACTTAACTCTCTAATGCCCCCACCACAATCGTACACAGTCTTAAAGGGTCTGTTTTCCTGGAAACAGATCAAACTACTTGCATCAATTTAAGGCTGTTGTATGAAACTGGAGCACCCACAGGAAGCGTACATTAGCATTACATCCAAACTCCATGCAGATAGTATTCCTGGTGGGAAATGAAATAAGGAACCAAAGCTGCAATGCCACAATGCTATCACTAATCCACTGCATTGCAATTAATCAACCACTTAAAGTGTATGTAATGTAGACCCAGCCAATGAACTTCTCTTATTTGTTTCTTTTTTTGGTGTATTACCTTATCTGGTTTGTTGGTTTGGTTTGTTGCATTAGCTGCATTTAGGCCAAAAACCTTCCACTAGCTGCTGCCTCCCTCCAACAAATACTTACCTGGACTGGTCCAGCACTGAGCCCATCTGCAGTAGCATTGGTTCTCTTTCTCCCCTCTCGCAGGCTCAGAGACAGCTGGGGAGCCAATGGCTCCTGCTGTTGTCAGATTTTGTAAGGAGGGAGAAGGAGGTGGGACTGAGTGTGTCAACTCAGAGCCCAGAGCCCAGCATGGGAGGGAGCCCGCAGGTGTGTCACCATGGGAAGCAGCTTGCTGGGGGACACACACACCAAGTAGAGAAGTAGCCGAGAGTGCCGGCGGGGGACCCCTGGAGAGGAGGTTCAGGGGCATTCTGCAATATGCACAGAGCAGGTAAGTCAACATGTTTATTTAAAAAAAAAAAAAAAAATATATATATATATATATATACATACACACACAGTATACATATATATATATATACACACACACATATACACATACATACATACACTCATCAGCCACTTTATTAGGTACACCTTGCTAGTGCCGGGTTGGACCTCCTTTGCCTTCAGAACTGCCTTCATTCTTCATGGTATGGATTCAACAAGGTGTTGGAAACATTCCTCAGAGATTTTGGTCCATATTGCCATGGGTTACTATTGCCTTTCTATCATCTCAAACTAGTCTGCCCATTTTCCTCTGACATCAACAAGTTGTTTTCGTCCACACAACTGCCACTCACTGGATATTTTCTCTTTTTTGGACCATTCTCTGTAAACCCTAGAGATGGTTGTGTGTGAAAATCCCATTAGATCAGCAGTTTTGGAAATACTCAGACCAGCCCATCTGGCACCAGCCACCATGCTTTCTTCCCTATTCTGATACTCGGGTTGAACTTCAGCAAGTCATCTTTTCCATGTCTAGATGCCTAAATGTACGGAGTTGCTGCCATGTGATTGGCTGATTAGGATTTTGTGTTACCAAGAAATTGAACAGGTGTGCCTAATAAAGTGGCCAGTGAGTGTAAATATCCTGTATAATAATAATAAATAATTTTTGCACCCTCCCGGTTTAGTAAATCAACCCCGCAGAGTACAGAGGTGAGATTTATTGTTCCCTGAAAATTTAAAACTATAACCCTGTGATGTGGAATAAAGCCACATCTGGAATCAGATTCAACCTTTAAAATATCAGTATGGCGGAGAGGGTGAGCAGAGCATTCCCACATGTAGCCCATGTGTTTAGTCGGCGTCCTCAGCGGAGTTTATATCAATGCCTTTACAATCACTTTAAGGAGGGGGCTGTTTACCATATTTAAGCCTGTCTATTCTGTGCTGGAAAATTTCATTAACAGTGGTAAACTAGATGTGTACATTGCCTTTCTTAACATAGGCTTGTTCCTATATCTGTTTCCACATTGCAAGTGATTCCAAACAGTACAAGCTGCTAATAGAGTCCTACATATAAACCTGATCCAAAGAAACAACTAAAAAGGTAGGAAATATTTTCAAATAATTTTTTAGGTATGCTGTGTGAATGGGAACACATAACAAACATATAGTGGGGGGGTTTATTTCTGCAGAGTGTGTTCTCTGAAACCTAATTATTATCATCCAAAGTCCTAATCACAACCACTAACCCCTATCCATAAGTTATATTTGTACACTACTAACTCTTAACTCACTAGTAGAAAATTCTTCCATAACCCTAATACTAACTAAAAGTGTATTATACACCCAAAATCTATTTTTCAGCATGTCTGGCATCATGTCTCACTGTTTAGATTGTAAGCTCCGCAAGCAGAGCCCTCACATTCCTTCTGTACTGAAATGTATTGTAATTGTACTGTCTCCCTTACATTGTAAAGTGCTGCGCAAACTGTTGGCGTATATAAATCCTGTATAATAATAATAATATACACTTTTCATAAGCAAATTTTTTTTGTTTGTTTTCTGACTCCATTGGGGTGGGCCATCCAGGAGGAAAAAATTAACAACTTTGCGATAAACCCAGAGTTGTGCTTTTCGTTATTTTTATTCACTCCCATTACCTCACAAAAAAAACCCACAAAAGATAACCGGATAAAATATATATTGGGTCACGCCATTGTACGGTCCTACACAGCAGGCTGCACCATTGTATGGTCTTTTACACGGTAAAGTTTTATTCGACACTCCCTAAACCTATCCTCTGCGTAAACTACAATATCCTTTGTTTTCCTAGCAGACAGGAAATTGCTGACAATGAGTTTTATCTTGAAAGAATAGGATATGATGTTTTACATTAACTGTCCTTGGCTGCCAGATGTCTGCTTGTAGTGTTCTGTGCCTTTCTGACACAGGGAATTAGCGGGTAGATTTTAATTCATCAGGTAGGTGATTCATTCAGATGGATTTGAACCATCAAGGACTTACCTCCACATGTCGCTCGATGCCTATATAATCTGCCTCTTCAGGTACACTGACGTGGAGTTCTGCCTCGTACGCCCCTTCGCCATCATTGCGTGCGTTTATGGTTAACAGGATGTGGTTTTCCTCTCCTATAATTAGCTGTTTTTTATCCCTATAAAAATCAGAATCACAATTAGGAAAGTACGTGCAAACAAAAAGTGTAAGATTAAAAGATGTCGCAGTGCTTTGAATGATCATTTCTTTTTTGTATCATAATGGGTTGGATTCACTAAAGGAAAGTAGACTGCACTTTGCAAGTGCAGTTGCGCTAATTTTCCCCAGAGCTTAGTGAATGTGGTGGAGCTTCACTTTGTAAAGAGTGCAAGGAAAATAAAAAACAGCAATTTTTTTTGCCTGTGCGTGATTGGATGATGGAAATCAGCGGGGACATATTTTTACCTTCTGACACAGCACTGGCACAAGTGCCTTTTCATGCATATATCCTGGAGAGGGGGGTAGTGGTGGGGCTCAAGGAGATCGGATTGTCCTGTCCACAGTCACTGATATAAAACTAATAGGGCCTTTTTGAGAAGACGCCATTTAAACCGTTGCTATGTTTTTTGACTGTGAGAAGGAATCAGATCACCTAGAAGAAAGCCATACTAACACAATGAGATTATACAAACAATACGCCTCTTGGAAACTGAGCCCAGGACTTCAGTACTGCAAGATTGCTAATCATATAGCACCTTTTTGTTTTCCTGATGAAGTGGGCCCAGCCACTGATCACACAGGTCCACTGCATTCAGGAAACACCCTTGTTAAGGGATAGGGTAAGGGATTATTGTTGGGGTGAGGTGTTGGGGGGGTTGTTTAGTTGTTAGGTGTTCAGGTAGGGTAGTATTAAGTGTTATAAGGAGGTTGAATTAGTGTAATGAACGTTCTCTTTATCTGCTAAAACTCTGGTCAGCTACATTATGCCCACCAGTCCTCCATGCTGGGTTCCCAACTGTGTGTCAAAAACTACCTGAGCCGTGGAGCCATCGTGCCATCGTGTTGCTTGTACATTATGCCTCAATTAAACAGAAGGTATTACTTGGCATCACTTCTTTAGCACTCCCCTCCCAAAACAAACCTCAAAAGGTATGCTTCTACACCTTGGCTTTATGAACTACTGTCTGGGTGTACAAAGTTAAGGCAGTGCCATCTTAATAACATCATAGGCCCCTGGGCAAAGTACTGCACTGGGCCCCCCACCAGGGAGATGGTGATGCCATGGAAAACAGTGAGTGTGGCTAAATTATGCTACATATTGGGTGAAGCTTTTTAGTCTGATTAGAAATATTTTTCGTTTTTTTAAAATTATTTTTACATTTTATTTACAACGCTGTTTGTGGGGGGGATCTTTGGTGAGTTATCAGTGGTCTAAACAGACCCCTGAATTCTCAGTTTTGAGACTGAGAAGTATTCCCCAGTTCCTTTCTGCAGCCTCATCTGCACTGCAGATGAATGAACAGGAGACAGGGGCTCTTGTTCATTCATAAACTGAATAACAGTTTACTAGGGTTCCGGAAATGGGTGATGGGTATCAATCACTCACTGTGTTCATTTAGAAATATGGGGAGGCATCCTGAATACGGAGAAGCTCACAGAGAGCCCAGGCAGCGGGGGAATCGAAAGTGGATAGGGGAGGATAATCATTGTGGCGGATGGGAGAAATGACTGGAACCAATCTTTCGTAGCTCTCCTGGCTTTTAGCTGTGTCAGTGAGAGCCACACAGAAGTTCGGTTCCTGTTATTTCCCCCACCCGCCACAGTGACTGCCCCCTGCTGTCCAAATGAGATCACCCCTGCTGGGGAGCGGGGAGACTGCAGGGGCCCCTTATGTACCTGTAGCCCCTGGGCAGTTTCCAACCCTGCATCCATAGCAAAAGTTGGCCATCATGCCACTAGGATAGAGTTAGCAGTATCACAGATCATAACACTGCTTCCCTTGTGAAAGTATGGAAGACACACTTTACATTTAAAGGAAAGAGAACGCTTTTAATTTATTAGTGATCTAAGCAGATCAAAGTAAATATCTATAGAGAAAAAAAAAGGAAACATATGGTAAATTCTCAAGTCCTCATGTTCTAATCCAGCAGGAGCTGCATCTTGAAGCTGCTTCTGTGCCTCTTAACACTATAGGGATCTACATGGCTCCATATCAAAGCACTGTCACATGCCTGCCTGGAATGCTGAGGGGGTGTGTCGAGGGACAAACTGTGCTTTGAAGTTGAAAGAGACAGGACTCCAATGTGATGGGGCTCTTCCTATTATTTCAGCACATGGCTATTTCAGGAGGAGAGACTTGAGAATTAATAAAACAAGACTATTTGCAGCATTTTGTATAGTTAATATGTTCTTTTTTCATGAGAAGGTTTGCTTTGATATTTACAAAGTATTAAATTATTTTAGCCTGAATAGTGAGGCAGTAAGTATGAATGATCATGACGTTGCACCCTTAACAAGTATTGTATATTATGACTGAAGAATATACAGTGAGGAACAGAAGTATTTGAACACCCTGGGATTTTGCAAGTTCTCCCACTTAGAAATCATGGAGGGGTCTGAAATTCACATTGTAGGTGCATTCCCACTCTGAGAGACAGAATTTAAAAAAAAATTCAGGAAATCACATTGTATGATTTTTAAAGACTTTATTTGTCTTGCACTGCTGAACATAAGTATTTGAACACCTAAGAAACAACAAGAATTCTGGCTCTCAAAGACCTGTTACTGTGCCTTTAAAAAGTCCACCTCTACTCCACTCATTAATCTAACTTAGTAGCACGTGTCAGCTCTTTAAAGACACCTGTCCACCCCACAGTCAGTCAGATGCCAACTACTACCATGGGCAAGACCAAAGAGCTGTCAAAAGACACCAGAGACAAAATTGTAGACTTCCACAAGGCTGGAAAGGGCTACGGGGCAATTGCCAAGCAGCTTGGTGAAAATAAATCAACTGTTGGAGCAACTGTTAGAAAATGGAAGAGGCTAAAGACGACTGTCAGTCTCCCTCGGACTGGGGCTCCATGCAAGATCTCACCTCGTGGGGTATCACTGATGATAAGAAAGGTGAGGAATCAGCCCAGAACTAAAAGGGAGGAGCTGATCAATGACATAAAGAGAGCTGGGACCACAGTTTCAAAGGTCACTGTCGGTAGAACACTATGCCGTCATGGTTTCAAATCATGCATTGCAAGGAAGGTTCCCCTGCTCAAGTCATCACATGTCCAGGCCCGTCTGAAGTTTGCCAATGACCATCTGGATGATCCAGAGGAGGCATGAGAGAAAGTCATGTGGTCAGATGAGACAAAAGTAGAACTTTTTGGTCTAAACTTCACTCGTCGTGTTTGGAGGAAAAAGGATGAGTTGCATCCCAAGAACACCATCCCTACTGTGAAGCATGGGGGTGGTAACATCATGCTTTGGGGGTGCTTTTCTGCGAAGGGGACAGGACAACTGCACTGTATTAAGGAGAGGATGAATGGGGCCATTTATTATGAGATTTTGAGCAACAACCTCCTTCCCTCAGTCAGAGCATTGAAGATGGGTCATGGCTGGGTCTTCTAACATGACAACGACCTGAAGCACACAGCCAGGATAACAAGGAGTGGCTCCGTAATAAGCATATCAAGGTTCTGGAGTGGCCTAGCCAATCTCCAGACCTAAATCCAATAGAACATCTTTGGAGGGAGCTGAAACTCTGTGTTGCTCAGCGACAGCCCCGAAACCTGACAGATCTAGAGGAGATCTGTGTGGAGGAGTGGGCCAAAATCCCTGTTGCAGTGTGTGCAAACCTGGTCAAGAACTACAGGAAATGTTTGACCTCTGTAATTGCAAAGAAAGGCTTCTGTACCAAATATTAACACTGATTTTCTCAGGTGTTCAAATACTTATGTTCAGCAGTGCAAGACACATAAATTCTTTAAAAATCATACAGTGTGATTTCCTGAATTTTTTTTTTAATTCTGTTTGTAGGTGGGAATGCACCTACAATGTGAATTTCAGACTCATCCATAATTTCTAAGTGGGAGAACTTGCAAAATCGCAGGGTGTTCAAATACTTCTGTTCCTCACTTTATATATATATATAAATCCTGTATAATAATAATAAATATATATATATATATATGTTTTTTTTTTTTTTGTGGGGGTAGCTCATGTGGGGGATCACCTTCCCTGGGAAAAAGGTAGTCCAGATAGCAGGGCTTTCTTAAAATCTGACTTGTCAGTTTTATTTAAAAGGTTGCAAGCATCATAAACAAAAACAAAACAGAAAATAAACCCTCGCCATCCAGGCGCTAACACAGGAGATTCCTATGCAAACATTTCCCTTTCTTGTACAACACACACTTTCATCCACAGCTCACTCAGATATGGCTCTCTGAGTCCCAGGCCAAGAGCAATTTCTTGCTCCAGTCCTGCTTGATTTATACCACCTGCTGGTGGTCATCAGTGGACCACAAAATCTGGTCCAGAACCAACTTCTCCCAGATATGAACGCATGCAAGGTGACACAAAGCGTCCATCAATCACCTCACCTTTCATAATGTCACAATATATATATATATATATATATATATGAGATAAGGACACCTAGGAATAGTCCAGGCAAGTCTGTCCTGCACTTTTATTCAGCAAGGCAGTAGACACAGTTCAGCAATAGAGCAGCAATGCATTCTATCTCTGAATTAGTTGGATTTATCATACTGTATATAGATTGCTTTGTTAGCTGCCTGATTGTCCATTAACGTAGAACTATACGCAAAACTTTTTTTTTTTCCATTTTGGATATAGCCAGGGAGGGTTATAATCCCTGTGTGATTTTTTTTTTGCCATGTGCTGTCCCATTGCAGAGATTTACCTTCACTTCCTGTCCCATAGCCAAACAGGAAGTGAGAAGAAATCCTTGCAAATTAAGGAAAATCCTTGGGGACCCCCAGGCCACCAGAACTAGTGTCCCTATTGGAAGATTTCCCACTATTCCTGTTCCGGAGACAAACCAAAATGTGATTTTCTTTTGCTTTCAATTTCAGTGATAGTAGTAAACAAGACAAAATAGAGGAGGATGAATTTCTCTAATGGGCACACAGACAGCAACAAAAACTGAAAGGCATTCTAATCCCTCTCCACTCTATCCGAAACGAAAAAAAAAATTGCCTTTAGTATAACTCTTCCTGCCGGCCGGATGCATAAATGTGGTCTCTCAGCTGGTCTACCTTAAAGCCAAGAGGCTGCATATATGCGTACCTAAAAACCCCCCAGAACTGTGCTGAAAATGTGCATGGTGCAGGCTCTGGACACAGCTACTGGTGGCTAATGGAAAGCTCCTGATCTCTATTTGCGATCAGGAGCTTTCCAATCATTTGCCCACTGTGCCAGCCAATCACGGCAGTCACATGATCTGAAACCCCTTAAAGGGCCAGGAGGCATTGGCGCCAAGGGGTTAACATAGATTGTGCTCTGTTCTTTAAGTACACACAGTTAAGCCATTGGCTACACTCGAGTCAGTTCCTGATTAGCAGGGTGCCTTCTAATGGCACCCACCCCGCTCAAAAAAGGCAACACATGTACCTGTTTGGGGTTTTATCAGCACTCAGCCTTTTCACCCAACGGCAGGCTCTCACTTCAGAGAGAAAGGCCCCTGAGCATATATCAGCTGATATATACAAAGAAGGGAAAGAAATAGAATTGAGCATCAGTCAGCTCACATATAAAAAATTCTGTTAGCAGCTGTGACTAATAATGAGATTTGGCCACTGGTAAAATGTGGACCCAGGAATGGAGGTTTTATTGCTCCCAACGCTACAGAGCCTCTGGCCTCTGGGCTCCAGGATCCAAACTTGAACCTATTACAACCCAAGAAAACAAAGTCTGTTTTCTGCATAAAAGACGCAAACCCTGAAAGGAATCCCTCATAATGTGTAGGTGAGAAATCGGGGTGATACATACGCATCGTTTACAATCCTGCTAGCCAGTGCCTCGCTATATATATATATATATATATATACACACACACACAAACACACAAACACTATTAAAACCACAAAGCAGTGTTAACACTTAGGGGTTGATTTACCAAAGGCAAGTTGACTGTGAACTTTGTAAAGTGAAGTTGCACTCTGCAAGAGCGGTTGCTCCAGAGCTTAGTAAATGTGAAGCTCTGATGACTTCCATCATCCAATCATGTGCAAGCAAAAATACTGTTTTTTTATTTTCCTTGCATGTTTTTAGGTATTCTTTACAAAGTGAAGCTTTACCTCATTTTCAAAGTTTTGGAGCAACTGTACTTTGCAAAGTGCATAGTCTAGTCTATGACTAGAAAATGGTAAGTGTACCCAGTGGCCATGGCCTTTAAATAATTAGCTGGAGTGCTAGTTTTCACCACCCTCTCCTTGAGCCCAATGCAGTCTCATTTATAGCCAATGACAGATTATAGTTCATGGAGGCTGTAGTTTCTACCTACAAGCAGTGTGAAAGGCATAGCTTCCAACTGTCCCTGATTTCGAAGGACTATCCCTGATTTGGAACAAAGTCCCTCTGTCCCTCTTTCCTCCTCATTTTGGTCTGATCTGTATAGTTGTATATAAAATGCACTTTTTGTTTTTCAAAAAGTGTTTCCCACTGCTAAATCTTTCATTCTATTTCTAAATTGCTGCATTTGTTAAATTCAAAAGCCAGTATAAATGAATTGTAGTGGTCAAAAAAAGCACTTGTGAGTTTAACTAATCTTTTTTTGTAGAATTTTCCTTTAAGGGGGTGTGGCATGGGACGTGTCCTATGCCTACATACTTTTGCTAATAGGTGTTCCCAGGGGCGGACTGAGAACTCATGGGGCCCCCGAGCAATAGGGGACCATGGGGCCCCTGTGTCCTTGCCCAAACTCAAAACAGCCTATGAAAAAGGTACCAGGGCATCTCATGGGGCCCCCTACTGACCCCGGGCCCTCGGGCAGTGCCCGAGTTTCCAAAGGTCAGTCCGCCCCTGGGTGTCCCTTGTTCCCATCTCAAAAAGTTGGGAGGTATGGAGAGGCCCGATAAATCACAAGGTTTAATAAAATTTAGATAATAGTAAACTGAGTTGACTTTAGCATGGTGGCAATGTTTTTTCACTGATTTATTTTCTTGGTTCCCCGGTGCTGAGCTTTAATTATTTCCTGGACAAAAGCAAAAAGCAGTAAAGCATGTTTACTTTGGTGCTTGTGGGTGGATTACAGTGGACGACAACAATAATAACCCAAATGCCTTTATGTTTTAGCCCTCCAGATAGATACATCCTTTTGTATTCAATTGTTTATCTAAATCAGGAAACGGCATGATTGCAACCATGTACTGAGTCATACGGCCGACACTAACATCCTATAGCTTGCATCAGTATAACTCGATAATCACAGTATATAGAACAAATAACGGTTATTACAAAGTGATCATTTGTAGTCTGCCACACCAAATGATAATATTTTTAGTGCGAATTAAGCCTTCCTAATTAACCGCGTATGAACTTAAATTCCGTCTGGAGACAGTGCTCTGTCAGGCCGGTTTAAACTGACATACACAAACAATCATAATTACAGTTAAATATATACAGTAGGCCTCCGGAACTTCAACAAATCAGCTTTAGCTTTAGAACACTTTTTATTCTTCTTTCTGTAGGGGTCTTTGTCTTGTCCTACACATTTATTTAAGCTTACAGACCCCTTTGGCCTCGGGGGACCTGAAAAATATCTTTAGATACAAAGGCAAAATTATTCTGTAGAAAAGAAAAAAAAGACAACTATTCTATGCTGTATTTATAATATGGCCTTGACTTTACTTTGTGATGTGCATTCTTATTGTTCTACAAATTGTAGTAGAATTCACTTCTGTGTATATATTAGTTTAACATTTTGCCGAGTGCTGTCGTTTCCTGTTAAAACAAACATCACAGTTTGGGGTCCTGAGTATGTTATAGCGGTTTTTCCTCATTTTTTAATTTATTTTTTAAAGCATGAATTCAATAAACTAAGGAAAATGTGTTTATTCAGACTTACGATTGGGCTGAAAGTTTCAGGTCAGGAATGCACATATTGTCATCTCCACAATCTACGAGAATGTGTGCCTGTACAGGAAAAAACACAACACGATGAAGATTTCGGTTTATGTTTTATTCATTCTAGATCCTTACTCTTATCTGCTTCAAATGAATGTTCAACTTCAAGCAAACAGCTGAAAACACAGTTGGGATACAAATGAGGAGGCAGTTGTATGTGCCCAAAGATCTGTATTTAAACCTGCCAGTCCCGAGATTTGCCCTGCCTGACCAGATAAGAGCAGATAGTCAAAGCAATATTAAACCTAAAACAATAAAAAAAGATAACCAATGCAGATGCCACATTTAAAGAAGAACTCCAGGATAGGTGCAAAAAATCACCCATTAGTACACCCCCACACAAAACACTAAACAATTAACAACATTTCGAAAATCCTTACCATTTTGGAGAAAAGTCTAATTGAATTTTCATGACCTCATCTCTGTAATTCAAAAGATAACAGCATCTGCTCTGCCAAGGAGGAGGTGTAACGGCAGGGATTACATCATATCCTCGCTTCTCTCCCAGCAGTTGAATGAAACTACATTTCCCATCAACCACAGGGAATTGTAGTGAATGTGGGCAGATACACTAGGCCTGTACATTTTGAATGTGTCTGAGAGCCTCGGTCCTCCCACCACTGCAAGTGGGGCTGAATTACATCACTGCTTGCTGGAGAAATAACTACAGAAGGGATGTGCCAAGACCTGTGGCAGAGAATTTACAGTTTGATTTGAAAATGAATAGCCTATTTCAGAGCAAGTATTGAGTGAACCAGAAGATGGATGACATATTCAGTGAAGGTAGGAAATCAGCAACAAGGACATGTGAAGAAGTGTTTGCCTGGAGTTCTGCTTTATGCATTGGCAAGCTGCAGTATATTATTTTTTGGCTTTTTTTTCCTTTACACATACAGTGCATCACTACTACACATAGATTAAAGGGCTTATATGCTAATACATTACAAACTACAAGAGTGACACTTCTACTTCCTCAGAGAATAGTCTGTAATCTTATGATCTTTGGTTTCAGCCTACAAAATGACTGCCAACACATATGCCTGAATCCAGAAGGCAAAGAGCAACATCCGAAACGAATAATCAGAAAAGATCTTTTATTGATCTGGCATCAGCCAAGTGAAGTATAATTGGCTGCTATATCTAATTGTAGATAGCCCCATTCAACTGGACTTGTTTTACAATGTTGAAAACATTTTGTAACTCAAGCAGCTTTCTCAGTTCCAATAAGCAGCTTTCTCAGTTCCAATAAGTGTAAAGAACATACACCAGCACTTATACACACACCAGTAGCTCAGCCACCTGTACCTAATCATCGTGGAATGTGTCAAGGCAAATGTTGATTGTCCAAGAACATGATGAGAGGTTTGAAAGATTGCGAAGCTACCCTGCTCTAATTACAAAATCCAATTACTGTGGTGCCAATAGGTCCGGAGCAGGTGTTAATCTTTAAAGCGCAGTTCCACTCACTCTGTCAAAACATAAAAGTCAGCAGCTACAAAAACTGTAGCTGCTGACTTTTAAAAAACAGCCACTTACCTTTCCCTCGGTCCCACGGTGTGTCCCCCGCAGCCCATTTCACCGGCCGTCCTGTATTCCTGGAGGCCAGCATCTTCAGTGTGGGCACCTTGCTGTGACTGCTTGCGGCTTCACAGCCGGGTACCCACTGCGCATGCGTGAGTAGTGCTGCACTTCATGAATAGTCCTGTAGTCTTCTGGGACCTGTCACGTGTCCCAAAAGACTGCAAGGAGGGAGGGAGGGAGGACAAGTTCTGTTTTTTCGATCGCCTAGGTGATTGGACCAGAAGTGGGAGAGGGCACCTGTCAAATTCGGGTACTCGCTCCCCCCCCGCTCCCAAAGGTGCCAATCCTTAATGGGGAGCGGGGGAGCAGTCTTTAAAACAGAACTTCCCCTTTTGGGTGGAGCTCCACTTTAAGTTACATGGATGACACCTTCCATCCTGTTCTTGGACAATCAACATCTGCCTTGACACATTTTATTGTGACTGAGTTAAGATGACCTACTGTATTGCATTTACATGTTTGAGTATGTTCCTGGCACGCATTTGAACTAAGAGAGCTACTTGAATAAGTATCAAAACCTCAACAGCATTAAAGAGCAAGTCCAGTTGAATGTGACTAACCATTTCTAGGTATACCACAACAATAAAAATGAGAACCTTCACAGACATTGGCTGCTATAGCTTGTTGCGTTTTGTACTCACTGTCCTGGTATATAGAATAAATATTTAAGTGTATGTGACTTATACTGCTTAAAGTCTAAATTTAGTCATTTTGGCAGATCAGCATAAGGAACAGTGCTTACATTGACTGATGTGTCCCTTGTGCTGGTGGCTGCTCACTTAGTTGAAATCTTTTGTCCTCTGCCCCCCATAGCTCTGAAGAAATAATTCTTCTGTGCTGCAGGAGTTAATACATGTTGCTGGATCTGTCATGGGCACTCTTCAAGAGTGCCAGCTATGCCTGCCTTTTCAGCCCCTTTCTCCATTTAATGAAGCTATAGTATAGTTTCCAGTAGTGAAAAGTGCTCCTTGAATAGAGGATGGGTGGATAAATTAAAGTTCTGCCTCCTTCATGCATAAAGCTTTTTTCATTGCTGTAAGCTATAGTACATCTTGTACAAATGGAGGAGGGGGTCCTAAAGAGTGGGCACAGTCAGCAATCTTGATGAGTGCCTATGACCAGTCCAGTGGCTCATATTAGCCCCTGCAGCACCGGAGGACTAAGGCTGCCAGGGATTTGGGGGGAAGGGTTTAAAACTAAGAGAGCAGCCACCAGCACAAAAGACACTTCTCATTCACTGTAAGTACTGTCCCTTGGGCTGATTAAAAAAAAAAAAAAAAAAACAACTAAACTTAGGCCTTAAACTTTACAGACATCAGTGTCCCATCTAGGAAAAGAAATTTCAACAACTCTAATTTGATGTATTTTATATTTGTAGGCAGCAGGCAGTCGAATGCCCTAAATTATACTCTATTGTCTTCTATTTTATTCTTTTCTATTTTTGGAATAATGGTCTGCCACAATTCATGCAAACAAATGTTTGACACATGCTTTTCTGGCCCAGGCTTGTAGGCAGGCAGTGATGAAACATACTGTACCTGTTCCTGTAACCGTGGTTCCCTAAATCGGTTTAATATTGGTTTCAATTCTTGTTCATTCAAGAAGGCAGATTCATCCAAACTGTAATTCAAGTTGACAGTAATGGGGGTGAGTTTGTCTCGAAATTCTGATTCTTCCTACAGGAAAAGTCAACAAAATAGCCTAAAAAAGCTTGTAGAAAACAAAATTATTGGATGAAATAAACACACAATTCAAGCATTCATATACTGTATATGGTTAGCAAACACATAATTATAATATTGCACCAAATATTGTTATAAAGAATAAACTATACAGAACCAGAATCTTCTACAGACTTCATAAAGAAAGAGGATTTGCAGGCTATAGAAAGAGCATACACAAAAACAGGAAACTGAACTACAATATAGATCAGAGGATAAACATAATGTTTAAGGCTGGCCACACATTATACAATTTTCTTATACACTTTTCCTTTAGAGTTACCAAAACTATATAATATGAGGTCAAATCTAAACACTTCAATTTGTATGCAGTTAGGCAAGTCCCTTGTGCTGCATAGTTGAAGGTAAATCTAAAGGAAATTGAATAAGAAAATTTTTATAATGACTCCAAAGACATGCTGGTAGGTTAATTGGATCCTGTTTAAATTGGCCCTAGTATATATGAATGCAGGTTAGGGACTTTAGATTGTATGCCCCTTGAGGGTTAGGGACTGATGTGAATGTATAATATATATAAAGCCCTGCGTAAATTGGCGGCGCTATATAAGTACCTGTATAAGTAATACATATAAGTAATATAAGTAATAAATAAATAATGTATGGCCAGCTTAAGACATATACATAATGTAAAGACAAATTTGGAAGCTGTGTCTGCATTGTAGATAGCATTCTGTGGAGCTGCCTGGTAAGGTCAGATGGATGTGCATGCAAGGTTTGATATCAGCATTAGATGGCGGGTCCACATAATGTTCCTGTTCATGTGAACAGAGATTGGAGGGTGGAATTGGCAGATGCTGATGCCACCAAGTCTCTCATGAAAGAACAACAGCAATATGTTTAGGTATTTCCAACTTGTCCAGTCAAATGTTCCTCCTGATAGATATTGACCATCTGGCCTTGGGGTCCTCTTTAGACATGAAAATGTCACCTGAATCCCTCTGCTAAACACTGTTCCACCAAGCTGACCAACCAATGCTTCACCTTCTTAGCAGTCATACACGTGACATATTTTTTTAGAACTGACATCTAGGAATCTCATCCTTAGTGGATAGCTATAACAATATACTATCTCCTGAGGAAATCCTTGTGGAGAAATGCGTTGAGACAGATGTAACGTCAGATGCTAGGGAAACCTGAAAGTATCAGGATTTCTATATACAGGAATGATAGCCAAGCATATCAGCATTTAACAAGAGTTTTTATGTAAGTAAGCAATTGTTGTGAAATAAAAGCGCTTTTTTAACCACTTGACCTCTGGCAGGTTTAACTCTTTTATGTTTTTTTTTTGCTATATATTAAAAGAAAGACTGAACGTTTTGAACAAAAAACTAAATTTTCTACATGCTGCTATAAAACATATCCAATAAAATCAAATTACTTCAAACATTGAGGCCAAAATATATTCTGCTACATGTCTTTGGTAAAAAAGAAATCCCACTAAGTGTATATTAATTGCTTTGTGTGAAAGTTATAGAGTACTCAAACTATGGTAAATATATTTGAAAATTGATCAATCCTGCTGTACTGAAGGCCTATCTCATTTCTTGAGCAGATAAATGTCCGGGCAGTACAAATATCCCCCAAATGACCCCTTTTTGGAAAGTAGACAGTATGAAGTATTTAGTAAAAGGCATGATGAGTTTTTTTAAATTGCAATTTTTTCGTCCCAATTTTTTTGAAAATGTAGCAAACATTTTGGGATTTTTTCAGAATTGTTTTCTACTAGTGCAGTACAGCATCATCATATGACTGGTGTGGCAGTGATCAGGGATAATGAATATTAAATTGTTTTTTATTCAAATTTTTCACACTTTTTAAAACTTTTTTTCTCTAAACATTTTTTTACATACTTTTATCAGAGTAATTCAGTGTCACCATAGTGACACTGTACTACTCTGGGGTGGTGATCAGAGATTTATTTATTTTTTTACACTTTCATTGCTGTGATAATCACTGTAACAGCAACGCTGTGAATTGTTATGAATGGGTTACAAACATAACAGCTGTGATTATTATTGTGTGCTGTGTCTGGCCCACAGCTATCATATGGTATAGGGTGTTGTGATTTGCCCAGGTACCATGTGATAGCTGTGGGCCAATCACAGCATCACAATACTAAGCACAGCTGTTATGAATGAAACCCATTCATAACAGTTGTGTATAAATTATGATCATGTGACCGCATGGTGATTACGTGTTACCCCGGTAGCTCAAAGTGGCCGGGTACCGGGAGGAGCAATTTTCTGTGTCTGGTGGACACAGTGGTTGTGGGAGGGGCGCGCCAGTGCACATGTGAGAAGCAACGTATATTTATGTTGCTGAGCCTGGCCGTGCTGTCTTCCCACAGAAAAGTACTGAGGGTACTATAGAGTGTGTTTTTTTAATACGCATATTATCTGATGATGAGTTAAAATGCACCTTCCCAGAAGATCAAAAGCCCATGAAAAAAACTGTTCCCTTTAAATCCTAGCAGTTCACGTCTGTGCTCTGCATTTTTTTTTTTTACTGTACGCTGTGCTTTTGAAATGTTTATTGCATCTTTAGTGCCCTGTTTAAAAAACACACCAACAACGTACCTTCCATTGAAGTCACAGTTTGTTTGAAATTGATATAATCTATTTATATGAGGATACACTGCTGGTATATACAATATATGAGAACTATAACAATAGTTTGGTTTTACTTTTATCTATAAATAATATGTTTGTTACAGCTCCAGTTAAATACTTACTCTTAGATAAACAACAAAGTTTTGGCACTGTGTCTCCTTTTCCCTTCCTACTACCAGATCAAACGTGTGCTGTGCAGTACCATGGTCAAGGAACAATGTCCTCTTCACGGCTCCCTTCTGTTTCAACCAGTCCAACTCAAGATCAACATTGAGAACTGTGGAGTAAGAGACATATTATGTTAAATATTCCAAATGCAGGAAATAAGGCATACATTCAGATAACCAACTTTGATTACAATTATGGTTGGAGTTAGTCATCCACCACCCAAGGCCAGTACACTATCCATCTTTCACCTTGGTCATTGTGCTATGATGAGACATGTGATGTCACATCAAAGCAAGGACAAATGTCTGTCTAGAGTCAGAGAACACACTTGGCTGTCATAGCTTACAAATAAGTACAACTCCTGCCAAAATGTGTTTTTTTTTTTTTTAGTTGGACATAATGAAAGCAGATAGAACATCTGCACTGGGCATATTTCCCTTCACTTCCTGTCCAGAGACACAAAAAAAGTGCAAATCTTCCTAAATTTAGAGGAAATCTACCACTGAGAGCTGATACTGGATCATGAGTGAATGTCAACAGGTAAATATATTTACTATATGTATTATTGATTATAGGTACTTATATAGCGCCATCAATTTACGCAGCGCCTTACACACATATATTGTACATTCACATCAGTCCCTGCTCTCAAGGAGCTTACAGTCACATTCATACATACACATACTAGGGTCAATTTAGACAATTAACCTACCAGCATGTCTTTGGAGTGTAGGAGAAAACCAGAGTAACCAAAGGAAATCCATGCAGGCACTAGGAGAATGTGCAAACTCCTGGCAGGTAGTGCCGTGGTTGGGACTATGCAGACTGATATTAAGTGGATTCAGCTTACATTTGACAGGTTTAAATGCCACTAAAACAATTTATAACTCATTGGCAGATGTATTTTACCCGCAGGTGACCTCCTTCTAAGCTATATCAACCGGTTTCTAGATGATTTTATGTCCCCATTGACTTACATTTGAAGGAAAGCAGTTCTGATGAAAAAAAAGAGCAGGCACTTAGTTTACTTAAAGAACATCTAAATATTCCTGTGCGGTAGCCTAAACAGGTCTCAAATCCAGTTACTATGTGATGCAATAAAAAAAAAAAAAGAAAAAGAAAACTCTTTTACCTCCCTTGAGTCAGCCAAATCTTCCTTCATTTGTGTCTCACACGCTCCCCCTCCCAGACACTGCAGCTCACAGTGGGCCAGCTTCAGCAGCACAGTCAGTTTTTATAATCCAAAAGGCAGTGGGAGGGGCTAGGAATGGCCAGGTGCTATTTGACAGGGACAATGTTGATAGTCACACCCCCTGTAACATCTTTTCATCCTACTGTATTGCAAACAGCCCCAGCCTACATGAGGGGCAATGCTCCTTTGAGTTCAGTTGCAGTGCAGCAGTGTTGTCCGCCATCACAGGGATCTGCAATAGGTGAACTTCAACGGATCTTCACCCTAAAACTAAAGTTACCGTTATTCTCCTCCCCTCAGTTTCTAATGAAATGGCAGCTTTTTAAAAAACATTTTGGGGAGAGAGTATCTTTTTTGTGGCAGCACCCTCTGCTTCTATGCTCACCTAGGCTAGGATGACGTTACCTCCGTTCACATTCCCATTCACAGCCTCCTGGGATAACGTCACACATCCCAGGAGGCTACAGGACCAATCTCCCGGCACCACTGGATTCCACACATGAGCGGTAGGGAGCTAGATGTGAATCATCAGGAAGTCAAAACTGGCTCCCAAATTCAAAATGGTGGCTCTGAGATGAATCAGCTGCAAGGAAGACATTGCTAGGCTTCTTGGGCTTCAGCTAGTGTTAATGTCAAGCCGAAAACTTTTTTTAGTTGTAGTTGGAATGGGGAAGGATTAGAACTCCTATTGGGTTTTTATTGCTATCAGGGGCTCCATTATAAAAACGTCCCCTCACTTCCTCACTTTCTAATAACAGTTTTACCAAGCAGGAAGTGCTGAAAAATCTGCACGAGAAAGAAGTAAACATCTAATTGTGGTTCTAGCCTTCTCTACTAAACAAAATGGTTTTATTTCTGTCTATGTTACTGTTAGAGAGTTCCCCTCACTTATTGTTTGGAAACTATTCTTCCAACAGGACAGGAAGCCGGATAAATCTCTCTAGCAAAGTCCTAAATTGCAGTAAAAACCAGAGGTTCCAATCCTTCGCTGCTGTCTCCAAAACTAATAAACTTTTGGGACAAATATGCGCCTTAATAATCACCAATACAAACACTGAAGATTAATCTCCCCAATGGACAACAATAAAAAAATCTAGAAGGGATTCAAATCCATCACAGCTCTACAAACCACAAAACTATAAAAAAAAAAAAAAAATAAAATGACAACTTTATGGGGAAAACACAGGTTTTTTACAGTATAAGCCAATGAACAGTCGTATGCAGCAAAAATACATACCTATATTATGAGGAATGGCTTGTCCCGACACTTGTACACAGACTCTCACAGTAAAACTAAGAAAAAAAAAATAATAACCTGTTAATGAGCATATTTATTAATCAAACATGAAAGCATGTTCCATTACTGTATTGCGGTACTTTCTGCAAAACTCTTACAGTAAACTTACAAAACAAAATCTTGACTACCCATAAATTAAAGACATGAACTGTGGAAGAGGTACCCAAAAAAGGTCAGCAGAGGGCAAAGGGCCAGTCACCAGTATAGCCTGTGGTTTCTCTGCAGCTAGTCATTTCCCTATTAGTGACCTACCAGGCCTTCTTCTGTTCTGTGTGTCTGTAGGGAGGTGGCTATCTTTGTAGAGGGCTTTGCCTCGTTATGTCAAAGCTGCCCTCTGAAAGATTGGTGACTTGATGACTGGTGGGTGAATATTCAAGAAGCAGCACTAGAGGTGGAGGGACCACTGATCCACAGAATGAATAAAGCAAAAACAGGGAGATCCTTGCACTGCAAGTCCTTAAGTACAGCTTCCTCTCCAGCAAGGAGTTCATTGAGCAGTAGTGACTTCCCCAAATCTCACCCAAAATCTTCTAAGACTTGTACTGTGGTGAAATTCAGTTTGATTGTCACCTCAATACACTAAGGCTATGCAGTTCATACATCCATTGCAGTGCAGCACAACGTACGGTAACGCACTAATATGTGCTGTGGTGTACCGCATTGGAAAAAAAAAAGTTGCATGTTCATTTTTTAGTCCATTCTTGTGCATTGGCAACCCATTCAAAATTGGGCACCACAACGCAATGCATGAACAACATATGAGAACAGTAAAGTGTGAACGGGCCCTAATTGGGGGTATTTATGAACAACATGCACCCTAGAATTTCTTTTTTCTACTGAATATTGCTTTATCTAGTGTACAATTTAGTTTTTCCCTACTTTTGCTATTCTAATTAGAGACCTTTTAGTACGCCACACATATTGCCCAGTTTTCAGCTATTTTTTTTTTCACTATTCTTGTGTCCACAGATAAATAAAAAGGGTCCAAATGGCACTTGATAAATTTCCCCCTGATGTAGCAGCCCATTCCTAGCACACCACAGCAGTGAGGTCACCACGATGCTGCTTCTCCATGTTTCTTCCAGACTGTGGCATGTTAGATACACAGAGGAAAAGTGGAAGAGGAAATTCCATGTACCTCTGCAGGAAGAACTCTATCACAGTAAGTGCAGCAAGTCACCGCTGTGGCCAACGCAATTACATCTCTTCTATGCACCATTAACATATCTTTGGAAGACGCTAAACAAACCTCTAATCATAATGCAGCGAAGCTGAAGATTAACTTCCTCTTTGTAATGTGATTAAACTGAATAAGAGCTGACATCTGGCGGGTCTCATACCGCACTCGAGGACAAATTTCCTACACGCTATTAGGCATGATAATGTCAAGAACATAGAGAGTAATTACCAGAGAATACCGCAGCTCTCCTGAGAAATCAGGAATCTACGGGTAATTTCTCATGGGAGATAAATAGTGAACTGATTAAAGCACTAAGATGCATCCTGTTCCATGTTTTCTGATAACAGCCACCCAGGTCCCATCCAACACTACATAATAAAAGAAAATGCCACTTTTAAAAAAAAATTTTAAACTGTAAGGAATGACAGTGATATGATGACCTATTGTATTTATTTTGTTCCATGATGCCCATAAAGGTTTTTGAAACATTAAAGTGTAAGTAAACTATTATACTAACAGAAAACTATTGAAAATAAGTTAAACAAATTACCTGTTGATCCCACCAGAAAAATAGCTGGAATACTATAAGAAAAATATAATTGCTCAAAGTTTGTGCTGACTGAAAATGCCCTACACCTTCTTTTTAATGTGCATTGTAATGCACTGGTAAAGCTGACCTGAATTGAAGACATTTTGCAAAAGAAATCATTGCAAAACATGTTGATCATTTTGGAATGCAGCGGAGTTAAATCATAATTCTAAAAACATTACTGTAATATTTACCAGAAAAAGGAGTGTATGATATTGTCCGTTGTACCCACTCCTGTTTGTGTTAGCTACTGAGCTTCTAGTGCAGCTGTCTCCAAACTGTGGGCCAGGGCTAGATGCAGCCCGTTGCTTCCTTTTACCTGGCCTTTGGGGAACTATTTCTCCCATAACACCAACAATGGGGCATTATTCCTTTTGCTTTACCAAGGATTTGGCACTATTCCTCCCACTGAAACCAAGAATAGGGCACTATTCCTCTCATTGTTACTAAGGATGGAGCATTATTTCTTCCACTAACACCAATGAAGGAGCACTATTCCTCTTACTGATGCCAAGGATGGAGCACTATTCCTCCCACTAAAGCCAAGGATGGAGAACTATTCCTCCCAATAACACCAATGATGGGGCACTATTCCTCTCACTAAAGCCAAGGATGGAGAACTATTCCTCCCAATAACACCAATGATGGGGCACTATTCCTCTCACTAAAGCCAAGGATGGAGAACTATTCCTCCCAATAACACCAATGAAGGAGCACTATTCCTCTTACTGATGCCAAGGATGGAGCACTATTTCTCCCACTAACACCAATGATGGGGCACTATTCCTCTCACTGAAGCCAAGGATGGAGCACTATTCCTCCCACTAACACCAATGATAGGGCACTATTCCTCTACTGAAGCCAAGGATGGAGCACTATTCCTCCCACTAACACCAATGATGGGGCACTTTTCCCTCTCACTGATACCAAGGATGTGGCACTATTCTTGTTACATATACCAAGGATTTGGCACTATTCTGCCCACTGGCACTAAGAATAGGGCACTATTCCTCCCACTAACAGCAATATTTGGACACTTTTCCTCCCACTGACACCAATGATGGGGCACTATTCCTCCCAATGACACCAATGATGAGGCACTTTTCTTTCCACTGACAACAACAACTGGCCACTATTCCTCCCGCTCTTATCAATGACGGATACCAAGGAAAAGGCATGATTTCTTCTATTGACATCAAAGCTAGGGCACTAATCCTTCCCTTAATAGTAAAGATAAGGCATTTTCTACTCACACTGGCTGTAGTGTGGCCCCTCTAAAGTCTGAAGGACACTACACTGGCCCTTTGTTTAGAAGGTTTGGAGACCCCTTCCGTTGTGCATCTCATCAGAAAAAATCCTGAAGTGACAGGTGTGCATATAGCCAGATGCTAACCTAAATAAAGTCTGTTTGCTGATGGCATTATTTCTTATAAACCCTGATTTCCTTGCCCATCTTGGACTACAATAAGACTGCCCCAAGGTCCTAAATACATTTTAAAGAACTCTTGAATCAAGAATCAAGTGGTATGGGGCCCCCAGTACTTAAAAAGTCAAAGGACGTATACTTGAATAATGGGTTCAACAGACCGCAATCTACACCAACGAAAATGTATATCACAAAATGTTCAGAAATGTTAAAAAGCAGGAAATGCAACTGCATTTCACAAAGTATACAAACAAATTATTTACATATGCAAAAATTTACATTGTAGTAATCAATACGTGCAATGTTTAAATGAACGAACAATCAATGATTCAAAAGATATGTACTATGATAGCATATACAGTCTTCAATCCACAGATAACTGAGTGCAATGCTCCACACTAAACCACCTGGGAATTAACATACAGAAAACATTTCAAAAATGCACATCTGGTGCAAGGGGCGGACTGACCATTTGGAAATTTGGGCACTGCCCGAGGGCCTGGGGTCAGTAGGGGGCCCCATGAGATGCCCCCGGTACCTTTTTCATAGGCTTTTTTAGTTTGGGCAAGGACACAGGGGTCCCATGATCCCCTATCGCCCGGGGGCCCCATGAGTTTACAGTTCGCCCCTGTCTGGTGCCAAGTTCTGATGTATGACCAGCCCTGTATCCTTGCTGATAGAACACAGCACTATACATCTACAGTACTGAGGGGCCCACTTTCATGACGTTTTATAGGCGATTGTCCATATTTCCCTTTTGATAAACATAAGCACCTATGTTCCTTTAATATGAACCTGTGCATTGCCAGCCCAGCAATGCACAGTCTCCTGATCTGAAGGGTCTTCAGGTACCAGTATTTCTCTAATACAGCAAAGTCCAGGGGTATGGGCAGTGGGAGAGGTATGTCCAGGGGGGGACTGACCATTTGGAAACTCGAGCACTGCCCGAGGGCCCTGGGTCAGTAGATGCCCTGGTACCTTTTTCATAGGCTTTTTTGAGTTTGGGCAAGGACACAGGGGCTCCATGATCCCCTATTGCCCGGGGGCCCCATGAGTTGTCAGTCTGCCCCTGGGTATGTCTCAGCTGTCTGTTTTGCAGGAGAAAACCTTTTTTAACATCTTTATCCCAATGACAGAATTGTTCTAAAACCTGACACAAGTCATTTCTACACAAACCATACTAAAGTATTTGAGAATCACTAATTGGTATTTTATTACATAAGGTCAATAATATACTCATATTTGTGAGTATTAGTGGAGCACGACACAATTGTATTTAAATTTTCATTCACATTGAAAACAATGGTCTGTATTTAAATCAGTAAATAAAATGCCTGTATACCTAAACGTTGCATTTTCAGTAGCCGTGTGCAAGATGTCCCAAAATTCTTATTACCTAGCTCATCCCATCACCTAAACTGAGGAGCTGTTGACAGATCATGAAAAAAATCGTAACCCCTCAAATGAGAATATATTTAAAAAATACCTACACAATTTGAGTTCAGTGTATTATATGTCACATTTGCATTAATCTAACACATTCCAAACCTGACATAAAGCATTACATCACAAAACCGTGATTGTTCAAAAATAAGTCAGGAAAATGATTTGCTCTGTTGGGCTACATTCCTCAACTGCACTGATTCACACGTCAACAAATTACTGTCTGCGCAGCGAGCCTAATGCCTCTCATCTGTTGCTCGTTACGGTTCACATTGTGGGGATTCATTACACACAAGTGCCCTAACCTATAGTGACAAACTCTACATGTATCCTTTCTCTCTGGAACATTAAAAAGCT